GGCCAGCCATGGTGGATCACACCTGTAATCTAGGACTGTGGGAGGCTGAGGCAGGTGGATTTCTTGAGCTCAGGAGTCTGAGACCACCCTTAGCAAGAGCAAGACCCTGTCTCTACTAAAAATAAAAAATAATAAAAAATAAAAAACTAGATGAGTATTGTGGTGAGCTGAGGCAAGAGGATTGCCTGAGCCCAGGAGTTTGAGGTTACTGTGAACTATGAGGATGCCATGGCACTCTACCCAGGGCAACAGAGTCAGATTCTGTCAAATAAATAAATAAAATCCTGCAATGACAAGAAAGAAAATGTTGTGAACATCGTGTGATATGAGGAGACCACCAACGTCAGGATAACACACTCTGTTAGCCATGCTAAATTTGATCCTCTTGGTTATGGTTTTAACTGCCACTTGCTCCATGGAAAAGATTCATCTTTCTTCTTGTAATTAGTAAAAAACAATAAACATAAAAACATCTCTGGGGAGGCGCCTGTGGCTCAAGGAGTAGGGCTCCAGCCCCATATACCAGAGGTGGCGGGTTCAAACCCGGCCCCGGCCAAAAACTGCAACAACAACAGCAAAAGTTAAATGAGTAAATAATTTAAAAAAAAAAAAAAAAAAGAGGCAAGAGGAGTTGAAGGTTGCTATAAGCTGTGACTCCATGGCACTCTACCCAGGGTGACAGCTTCAGGCTCTGTCTCAAAAAAATAAATACATAAATGAAAACACCTCTGGAGTGGTACTTTGGAAATATGTCAATATTGTGTCTCCCACTAACGTTTCCCCAGCAGTTTTAGCACCTCACTGATGAGTCTTCCTGTTATTAGCAGTATTATATTCTGCCTAACTTTAATGTATTTATTTTATGTTCAATCATTAATTTTTTAATTTATAAATACACCATAGAAGGCTATCAGCCAAAAGTCCTCTGGCTGCTTCTAGTCCATATCATTAAAAATTTCTCTTCCTTCATTCCTGAAACTTAAGACATTTGCTGAGGATATAAAATCACTGAAGTGTAATATATGAAAGGATGAATTAAGTGCTCTAATAAAATAGAAATATAGGGGGGTTACAGTTAGGAACTTTTCCATATTGATGATGGTGTCACTGGGCAGTGGGACTGAGTGGGCATTAAAGTTTAAGGAAAATTCTACCAGGTAAAGGAAGTGAGGGGAAAGGCAGAGAGACAGCCATGCAGCGGTATGCTGGAAGGCCTGTGTATTGCTTGCAAGAGCTGATTGCTAAATTAGTAAGAATTTTATGAGTGGTGCCTGTGGCTCAGGGGAGTAGGGCACCGGCCCCATATGCCAGAGGTGGCAAGTTCAAACCCAGCCCCAGCCAAAACCTGCACAAAAAAAAAAAAAAGAATTTTATGATATGGTCCTTATGCACAGTTATTAAAAATTAAATTGTATAAATTTACAATAAGTTGTAGTAAAAACAAAGGTAACTATTCGAAGCTTATCATTTCCTAAACATTTATACAACATATTACTATTATGTATGTTCTTGAGGTTAATTTGTGCCGATTGTATCCTCATGATAGAAATAATCTGTGATGGTATGGGACACACATCTGTTTCCACTCCACGTTCAGTGACATTTGTTGGTAGTTTGAAATCGGTCATGGTGGGAGTACTTACGCCACGGAAATATCAGCAAACGCTTCAAATAAGAGTTTGACTTGTTTTTTTCATTCCTTGTTTATGCCAGGAGAATGGGGACCAAAGACCCCATTCTTGGCAAAGGAAAGCACCCCCAGAAAAAGAGGAAAACTAAACAGGAAGCTGAGTGAGTCATAACCAAGAAAAGTCAGCTAGTTTACATTGAAGCCAGCCATCACTACCAAGCTTCTTGCCTTTCCTGAAATTCTAGCCTGTTGGGGATACAGCTTACAAACACCCTGCTGGGTCTGTGAGCACTCTGGGGAGAGGAATGGCCATAGAAGAGGCTAAGACAGGTCCTAAGGTTAAGAATATCATCAACCCGAGAAACTGCTGAGGCCTTTGTTCCCTCCCTCATCTTACCCGCTGGACAAATAGACTTCAATAAAATCAGAGTGGAGCAAACACTCTGGGCCATTGCCAGAATCCCACAACGGGCAATCGACCCCTGAGCTCCCACTTTTAATTCTACTCTATGTCTCTTGTCTTTCTTTACCATCACTTCTAACTCGATATTTTTTTTCATTCACTACCAGTTTCCACAGGTCTCAGCAGACCCTGCTCTTGGGATGGGACCCTGACAGTCTAGGCTTAAAAAAAGAATGAGGGAGAAAATGTTAATAATATAAAGTCAAAAGTGTATCATGTCTGTAAATGTTACATGTGAGTAGCACAAAAAACATTGGGTAAATGTTCTTCCAGTATTCAAAAACTATAATTCAATTTAGCAAAGAAGTTGATTACATCATTGTTGAGAGAGTGAAATTTTAATATATGTCTTGGTTGTTTCACTTGCATCTTAGTCCTTAACAAAAATATCAAGAATATTCATGGAATTATACTTGTGTATTAATTGCAACCATACCTTTCCATGGATATAAGAATTCAGCAAAAATCAAAAAAGTATTATATGAAAAATCATTTTAGCTGTATGGAATTTACAATACAGAACACTTAACACTTTAGTATTTTGTAATAAGAGGATCCTTTAAATCATTAAAAATATATATGTATACATAGAGAGAGAGAGAGAGAGAAGGCACATGTGTGAGAGAGTGGGCACCCACAAGCTATGGGCTGAATTGTGTCCCCCAGATTTATAGGTTGCAGCCCTCACCCTCAATGTTACTGTACTGGAAATAGGTCTCCAGGAAGCAAATGTAAGGCGAAGTGAAGTTATAAGTGGTCCTAACTGCATAGGACTTAGGACTAGTGGCCTTGTAAGAAGAGGAAGAGAAATATCAAAGTAAACACACAGGAAAATGGTAGTTGCCTACACGCCCCAAGACAAGATGGCTGGAACCTGAATCTTGAACTTCTCAGTCTCTAGAACTGTGAAAAAACAAATTTGTGTTGTTTAAGCTACTCAGTCTATGGTATTTTGTTATGGCAGCCTGAGCTGGCTAATCACACACACACACACACACACACACACACACACAGAGGCAAGTAGACAAATAATTATATGTGGCCAGGCATGGTGGCTCATGCCTATAATCCTGGAACTCTGAGAGGCCAAGATGAGTGCATTGCTTGAGCTCAGGAGTTGGAGACCAGCCTAAGCAAAAATGAAACCCCATCTCTACTAAAAATAGAAGAAGTGTCTATTTGGTGGACACCCATAGCCCCAGCTACTTGGGAAGCTGAGGCAGGAGGATCACTTGAGCCCAGCAGTTTGGAGTTGCTGTGAGCTAAGCTTAAGCACAGGGCACTCAACCTCAGGGTGATGGAGTGAGATTCTGTCTCAAAAAAATTAATAATAATTATAAGCATGTTAGAAGGTGAGAAGTGCTATAAGAATATAAAGTAAATGTATGAGGAGTGCAGAGGAGATGGCATTTGAGCTCAGCTAGGAGAATAGGCAATCCAGACTGGAGATCCTAAGGCTCTGAACTTGGGCAATGGCCTTAGAAAAAGAAAGGTTTACACTACCCAGGAAAGCAGCATTTGACTTCTCATCTGCAGCTGACTAGCAGGTGGCCTGTGGATTTTGCAAAATAACAACACATCTGAGAGGAGCATTACAGTTTCACAGTTTTCCAAGGAGGGTATTAGCTTTCCGGTAGGTCTCCTTCTCCCCTCATATTTGATTCTCAGTCTACTGCTCTTCTAATGCATTATTTTCTATACCTTTTCTCTAGGTCTCAGCAGATGACATTCCCTCTCCTGAACACTAATACCTGGTCAATCACCTTTTTTTTTTTCTTGAGACATGGTCTCATTCTGTTGCCCAGGTTGCAGTGCAGTGGCATGATCACAGCTCACTGCAGCCTCAGATTCCTGGGCCCCAGAAGTCTTCCTGCCCCAGCCTCCCCAGTAGATAGGGGAAGAAGCTTCCTCCAAGTCATCTTTCCTCTTCTCTTCCCCTATGACACGGCCTTAGTGCAGAAGCTCATCCCTTCTCCTGACTTGTAGTTTTTAGTTTGCCTCTCTGAGCATTCTCTACCTTGCTTCCAGAGTGCACTTTCACGCTTCCACTTAAAATTGTACCATGATTCTCTGAATTTCAGGATCAAGTTCTCAGCACACCCCTGCCTGCCTCTCTAACCCAAGTCATTGTCACCTTCATTCTGGTCAAACTGAACTAGTCCTCTGGCTGTCCTGTTATTTCATGCACTATCGTTTCTTCTTTTCTTTTCTTTTTTTTTTTCAGTTTTTGACCAGGGCGAGTTTGAACCTGCCACCTCCCATATATGGGGCCGGCGCCCTACTCCTTTGAGCCACAGGCGCCACCACTTTCTTTCATTCTGAAGTCCCCTGACCCTTTCAGCCAACTTCTTGTCCTTTAAGATTTAGGGCCATAATTCTGGTATCTTTTCCAGGAAACCTTCCCAAAACCCTTCTGACTTAGGTACCCTCCTCTGTGCCCCTGTGATTAAATCAGCCTCTGGCCTTATTTATTAAACAAGCACCATGCTGTGATTTCAGTTTGTCTTTTTCTTCTGCAGCCTGTGTCGTATTCATCTTTTTAACGTCCGGGCCATGCATGGAGCCTATCACATAGAAAGCCTCCTAAGTGCTTGTTGAAACAGTCTTGCAAGTAGAACCACAGGAATCAGTGAGCCCCTGGAAGGAGGGATCAAAGATGTTTCTGAGGCCTTAATATGAGGCAGGAGAGAGACCACGTGGTTTGGAAACGGGCAGAAGGCTCACCTGTGAGCCAGAGATGAGGCAAAAGGTGCGTCGCCAGCCTCACTTCTTGGCTCCCTGCGCCGGTCCGCTCGCAAGACAGGTGGAGCCGACACGAGCGGAGAAAACTACACTTCCCGTCATGCCGCGGGGCACGGCTCCGGTTTCCCCTAAGTCACCGCCCCTTCCCCGCGGAAATGAAAGGAGCACTTCCGGGCTCGGTACGACGCTGGGCCGGCGGCGTTATTTAGGGCCTCTGGCCGCAGGTCCTCCCCGGTTCCGGTCATTCTGAAAAGCCCGCTGTGATCTCGGCGGGGCCGGAGAGGTACTTCCCGGCCGCTGCACGTGCCCCCGACCCGTCGGCTGCACGGGGCGGGCGAGGCCCTTCCCGGTGCAGGTTCGGAGTTCCGTCGGGGCCAGCGGGCCTGTGTGCGGCTCGAGTCCGGGAAGCCGGTTACCCGGGTCGGGGCTCGGCGCTGACGTTCTGACCCTTCTTTCTTCTCTCTCTGTACTGAAGCGTCGCAGACGCTTGTGTGAGTCCCTCATGGCAGATACGACCCCGAACGGCCCCCAAGGCGGGGGCCCTTTGGTAAGTGGACGCGCAGGGTGATCTGGCTTGATTTGCAGGAGTGAGGAAGAAGCGGGAAGTGTCGAAGGGGGTCGGAAGTCCATGTGCTTTCTGGACCGGGGTTAGGGAGTCGGGGCGGAGGGCGGAGGGCGGAGGCCGGGAGGGAGCTACAGGTTTGTCCGCAGGCTGGTGTGCGGCTCTTGCTCACCTGCATGCCGTGGATGTTGGGCCTTTTTCCCTCCTTCCACACCCGGCTCTTCGATTGTCCTAGGCCCAAAGGTTGAAGGTGCCACCTGAAGTTACGCGGTGACACACCTCGTGGCGCACACGCGCACTGGCACAGAACGTTTCTGCCCACTGTCTGCCATCATATGGAAATTATGCAAAGGGAGGGCGGAGAGAGGTCCTTTTTTCCTTCACTTCGATTTTCTTTATTAAGAGAAATACTATGCTTTTGCATATTTCTTATTTTTAAGATTCTGGTCTGGAGCTAACTGATTATTTGTACCCGAAACATTATTGTTCTCTAGTTTTTAATCCCCATATACGTAAGTATTATTCTACATGACCACAATACAGTTACCACACTTGGGAGATATTACCTAATGTACAATACATGGTCACATTTCCATAATTATCCTTCAAAGCTGTTTCTTAGCCCAGAGTCTCTTTTAATCTACAGCAGTTCCCCTACCCTCTCCCTCCCTTTTTTTTTTTTCAAGACACTGAATGTTTTCAAGAGTTTATACCTGTTTTGCAGAAATGCTCTTCAAATTGAAGTTGTCTCATTCTTTTTCCTCATGGCCAGATTTGGGTTAAAGATTTTGTCTGGAAGATTACATAATAAGTGAGACATCTTTCTCAGTGAGCATTTTATGTTGATGTATCCCATCATTGGAGAATTAAGTGTGATTATTTGTTTAAGGTAGTGTCCACTAGATTCTCTATTTCAAAGAAACCTTTTTTCCTTTTGTGTAATTAAAAAGTATTGTTTGGCATGATGCTTAGAAACTGTGTGAATATATTGCTCCTCAATGGTTTTTCATCCAAAGATGTGTTGATGATTTTTGCCTGGACTATTAATGTGGTAGTTGGACAATTCACCCTTAAAAATGTCAACCAGCACACTTAAACTTTTTTTATTGTGTCATATACATAAAACAAATGAAATGCAGAACTCAACAATGTTTTATAAATTAAGCACCCTAAACAAATAGATTTTTAAAACAATGTTCTAAAGTTAAATTTTAAACTGTAGTGTTTTAGTATTTGTAGAGAAACTGAGCAGAGTAAGCTATATTCAGCCTTCCACTTGATTATTGCTAGTCATTTAAATTTAGAGGAGTCACATCATGGTAGATCTGGATAGAATAAATCAGAGGTATGTTTCATATTTCTTAAGTTACCTGCATTTAGTTAAAAAGACATGCATTAAACATCTGAGTTTTTAAATGTACTTGGATTTCCTCCCCCGCCCAAATTTTTCAAAAGGTAATGAAGTTCAGTTGCATAGAATGGTGTTTTTAGAATTCAGGTAGACCCATTAGTGAGCTTTGAAGTCAGGTTATTGGAAACACCAGCTATTTTTAAAAAATTAAATAGGGGGTGGCGCCTGTGGTTGGGAGTGGGGTGCCAGACCCATATGCCAGGAGTCAGGGGTTCAAACCCAGCCCCAGCCAAAAACTGCAAAAAAAAAAAAAAAAAAAAAATAGAAAATGTCAAAAGCCATCACGCACAAGAAGGTATATATTGTTTGTGAAACTTTATTGACTTTATATACTCGTGTATGTTAGTATTGGATCTCAATGTTAAAATTATGTAGATTCTAGTAAAAAAATAAAATTTAGAATTTGAATGTAAGATCTATTTAAATGAAAAGCAGACTTTAGGTTCTTTAATTGTAGTGGACACAGATATTGGGGGGGAAAGCAACAATGGAAAAGACAGAATGGGGAAAAAATGAAGAAAATGGTAAATGGAAGTTTAATCTGGGACCACTGAAATTAGAATAAGCCTTGTGGAGGTACTCAGAGATGATAAGGAGAATCATAGAATTAGAGAGGCAGATGGCATTTAATTTAATACCTGACAGCCATATTTTCAGCACCTACATGCAGTATGGCAGCCCTTAGTATCTATAGACAAACCATCCATGGCTAATGAGTTTAATATTACTGTTACCAGAGTTTTACATTTCTCCTTCAAAAGGTTTATTTAATCTAAATTGGCTTTATGTGATGCCTTTTTACTCTACTTTGAGACCTATGTATTTGGATTTGAGAATTTTTTTCCCTCTAAGAATAGGCATTATGGTTCTCTTGAGAGCAAGTAGTTCTTATTTAATGTTCCTTTAAAATAGATGAAACCAATATTACTGTGTTGAAGAGACACAGACAATTGTAGTTAACTTTGTGCTCAGATTTTTTTCTTAGTCTTTTTATTTCTTTAAACGCCAACTGGTATTTATTTCTGTTTATCGAAATGCTTCTACATCAACGCAGTGAGGTGCTTGGACTTGTCATTAAGCACGTACGTGAAACAGTCAATTGCCTTAGAGTTTTCACTTAATGATCTGAAAAACAGGTTTTTAAGTATTTTGAGTAGAAATAAAACTGTAGCCTTCATCCTTAAAAAATGTAATTTGCAGGGTTAGTTTACTCTATTTTTCTTTTTAAATCTAGCAATTCATGATGACCAATAAACTGGACACAGCAATGTGGCTATCTCGCTTGTTCACAGTTTACTGCTCGGCCTTGTTTGTTCTGCCTCTTCTTGGGTATGTATTGTACAAATTGCTGACTTTGATATTCAGTTGTTCAGTTTATAGTCAGTTTATAGAGAATGCCTTTTAGGTATAAGACTTACTAAACTGTAAAAGGTTTAGGGATAAGTAAAACAAGACCCAACCTTAAAACGTTAATAACCTAATACTGTTATCACTTGGAGGAATATTTTATATCTGGTGGTTTGTGAAGTGAATATCACATTGAAAATCTGAGGAACCAAAGGATGTGTGGAGATGAGATGAGTTCATGTCTTTCGATCTTTTAAATTTTTTCTAACTTGACAGAACAATCACTGCCTTATGAAATTTAGTTAGGCATATACATGAAGTTACTCTTTTAAGAAGGGAAAAGGCCGGGTGTGGTCGCTCATACCTGTAATCCTAGCGCTCTGGGAGGCTGAGGTGGGAGGATCCCTTGAGCTCAGAAGTTTGAGACCAGCCTGAACAAGAGTGAGACCCTCCTGT